AGGGGGGATTTGGGGAGCTTGGGAGTGGGGAGGTGTGCAGGGGCGGACTGACAACTCATGGGGCCCCCGGGCAATAGGGGATCATGGGGCCCCTGTGTCCTTACCAAAACTCAAAAAAGCCTATGAAAAAGGTACCAGGAGCATCTCATGGAGCCCCCTACTGACCCCAGGCCCTCAATAGGGGATCATGGGGCCCCTGTGTCCTTGCCCAAGCTCAAAAAAGCCTATGGATAAGGTACCAGGGGCATCTCATGGGGCCCCCTACTGACCCCGGGTCCTCGGGCAGTGCCCGAGTTTCCAAATGGTCAGTCCACCCCTGGAGGTGTGTAGGGAGTGGGAATTTGGGGGGGGGGGATGTGCTAGGGGGGGGGAGTTGGGGGGTTGTGTTCGTAGGGGTGAATTGGGGGGTTGTGCTAGGAGGGGAGGTTGGGAGAGGGGTTGGGAGGGTGTGCAGGGAGTGGGAATTTTGGGGGGAAGGATGCGCTAGGAGGGGGAAGTTGGGGAGGGAAAAGTTGGGGGGTTGTGTTTGTAGGGTGATTTGGAGGGGGGACTTGGGAATGAGGGGGTTGAGATGGGGAGTTGTGCTAGGAATTGGGATTTGGGGGCTTGTGCTAGGAGGGGGGTTTGAGAAGGTTTGCAGGGAGTGGGGATTTGGGTTGGGGAGGGGTTTGTGCCAGAAAAAGGATTTGGGGGGTTGAGCTAGGAGTGGAATGGGGATCAGGGGGTTGTTCTAGGAAAGCGGAACTGAGGGGTCTGGATGCAGGGAGGGGGTGTGCAGGGAGATGGGGGAGAAGATTTGCAACTAGATATGTGCTATTCGTTTCAGTCTGAATCTAAATTCAGATGAATTATTGGTTATTCTAAGATTCAAACTTCCGAATAACAATAGTAATAAATTTCATTAAAATGCATTTTGTTTAGTTACGTTTATTTGCTGCATATGGGGGCTGTCTCTTGCTGGATATGGGCTGGAAGAGTCTCTGAGCTTACTTTAAGTGCTGGATATTTCTAATGTTTTGTACATTTTTCTACATTGCTTTTAATTAAATTCCATATAAATTACTTATACTTGGCTCTCTAAAGGGGGCGGTGCTAGAAGGTGTGTAGAAGTGGAGACAAGGGGCGGTCCTAGGGGGTGGGAGCAGGCATGGCCGAGGGAGGGAGGGGGGTGAGTTCCTGCACCTTTTCTTTGAGGAAAAAAAAAAAAATAAATATATATATATTACAGGTGAAACTCCAAAAAATAGATTATTGTGCAAAAGTTCATTTATTTCAGTAATGCAACTTAAAAGCTGAAACTAATATATGATATAGACTCATTACATGCAAAGCAAGATAGTTCAAGCCGTGATTTGTCATCATTGTGATGATTATGGCTTACAGCTCATGAAAACCCAAATCCACAATCTCAGAAAATTAGAATATTGTGAAAAGGTGCAATATTCTCGGCTCAAAGTGTCCCACCCTAATCAGCTAATTAAGCCATAACACCTGCAACGGGTTCCTGAGCCTTTAAATGGTCTCTCAGTCTGGTTCAGCAGGAATCAATCATCACAAGCATATCAAGGTTCTGGAGTGGCCTAGCCAGTTTCCAGACCGGCGGTTCTCAACCTGTGGGTCGCGACCCCTTTGGGGGTCTAACGACCATTTCACAGGGGTTGCCTAAGACCATCGGAAAACACATATTTCCGATGGTCTTAGGAACCGAGACCCCGCTCCTCTATCCGTCTCCAGGCGATGTGTGGGCAGGATGACATGCTGCCCCTGTCATCTGGCCACACCCCCGGAATCACTCAACAGCTCTGCCTCCTCGCCGGTGATTGGCCGCTGTAACTGTAGCTCAGGAGAGGCACACAGGTGGCCAATCACCGGCGAGAAGGCAGAGCTTGGAGAGGAGGAGCTGAGCGGCAGATCGAGTGACGGAGCTGCTGGAGCGAGTGAAGAGGAGAGCGGCCGGAGAAGGAAGACAGCTGACAGTAAGTGTCTGTACCGTGCAGATGTTGCTGCTTCAGCCAGGTATGTTGGCTGTAGATGGGAGAGGGAGGGAGCGAGCGCAGGCTGGAGCAGGGGGCAGCAAGGTAAGTATCATTGATGTCAGTGGGAGGAATAGTGCCCCATCTTTGTTGTCACTAATACCAATGATGGGGCACAATTCCCCCCCCTCACTGACACCAACGATGGGACACTACCCCCCCCCCCCCCACTGACACCAAGGATGGGACACTACCCCCCCCCCCCCACACTGACATCAACAATGGGACACTATCCCCCCCCACACTGAAACCAACGATGGGGCACTATTCCCCCCCCCCCACTGAAACCAACGATGGGGCACTATTCCCCCCCCCCCCCAACGATGGAGCACTATTCCCCCCCACACTGAAACCAACGATGGGGCACTATTCCCCCCCCCCCCCACTGACACCAACGATGGAGCGCTATTCCCCCCAACCCACTGACACCAACGATGGGGCACTATTCCCGCCCCACACTGACACCAACGATGGGCACTATCCCCCCCCCCACTGACACCAACGATGGGGCACTATCCCCCCCCCACTGACACCAACGATGGGGCACTATTCCCCCCCACACTGACACCAACAATGGGGCACTATTCCCCCCCCCCCCCACTGAAACCAACGATGGGGCACTATTCCCCCCCCCACTGACACCCAATGATGGGGCACTATTCCCCCCCCACTGACACCAACGATGGGGCACTATTCCCCCCCCCACTGAAACCAACGATGGGGCACTATCCCCCCCCACACCACCACACACCCACACACACTGACACCAATGATGGGCACTATCCCCCCCACATGACACCAATGATGGGGCACTATTCCTCCAAAACTGACACCAATGATGGGGCACTATCCCCCCCCCCCCACTGACACCAACGATGGGGCACTATCCCCCCCACTGACATCAACGATGGGTCACTATTCCCCCCCACACTGACACCAACAATGGGACACTATACCCCCCCAATGACACCAACGATGGGGCACTATTCCCCCCCCACTGACACCAACAATGGGGCACTATTCCCCCCCACTGACACCAAGAATGGGGCACTATTCCTCTCCCCCCACTGACACCAACGATGGGACACTATTCCCCCCCCCCTCCCCTGACACCAACGATGGGCACTATTTCCCCCCCCCCTCCCCCACACTGACACCCTCCCCACTGACCAATGAAGGGGCACTATTCCCCCCACTGACACCAACGATGGGGCACTATTCCTCCCCCCCACAATGACACCCCCCCACTGACGATCAACGGGGCACTATCCCCCCACTGACACCAAACAATCACTATACCCCCCCACTGACACCAACAAATGGGGCACTATCCCCCCCCACTGACACCAACGATGGGGCACTATTCCCCCCCCACACTGAAACCAACGATGGGGCACTATCCCCCCCCCACTGACACCAACGATGGGGCACTATTCCCCCCCACACTGACACCAACGATGGGGCACTACCCCCCCCCCCACACACACACACTGACACCAATGATGTGGCACTATCCCCCCCCCCCCCCCACTGACACCAACAATGGGGCACTACTCCTCCCACTGCAAAATTTAAATTATTTTCGTTGCTACTTCATAACTGTATGGTTGGGGGTCACCCCAACATGAGGAACTGTATTAAAGTTTTGCGGTTCCTTTTCCCCATAAATTGATACTAACCCCCCCCCCCCCCCCCCCCACAGTTCAATTTGCGTTATCCCTTCTCTTTCTGCATATGGATGGCGGCAACGCCAACGCTTTTGGGATACAGAGTACAAATAAGTAATATCAATGAACGGTTTAAAGATTGAGTCATAACAGCTTTGCTAACATTGTGATCACATGATCACCGGGTCCTGATTACCGGGATCGCACAGCGTCCCCTTGTGTTGGTACAGTCACATCGGCATACCGGTACATTGCTGTACAAGACAGGCGGGAGGATGTTTTTGGTTAATTCCTTTAACCACTAAAAACAAACTAAAACATATTTAATTTTTAATTAATACAATAATTTATAAAAATAGAAAAAAAAATCAGGAAGATAATTAAATGGAGAAAGATAACAATGAGTTAACTAGGATCGATTACAGTAAGTTAAGGGTTAATAAGGGGTTAAAAAGAGAGGAAAATGTAATTAAAAAAAAAATACATATTTGACAGGTCGCTTTTAACTGACTTCAGCTGCAGATTGAAGTTCATCCCTTGATCTGTAGATGAATAAACAGAAAGATACAAAATTAAACAATGTCTCTTATCTTTCTGTTTTAGGGCTGAGCAATGCCGATTATAAACATCGTTTAGGCAGTTTTGTTTTGTTTTCTATAGAGTTGAAGGATTAACGTTTTGGGCGGAAGAAAACGAACAGAATGATGATTTATCACAAATCTTCCTGATCAGATAATTTCCTCCCAAACTATTTGGGTGTTTTATATAAATGAAAAGCGTACAACTGTCATTGCTTAATAAATTCCAATTTCCCGCCGGAGTTCTATGGAACGTTAGACAATCCGCCCTCTTTACCTCAGAAATCAAAACGGAAAATCGATCGATCAATCCTTCCAGGTTCTGCAATCACCGACAAATAACAGCATTGCAAATGTTTTTTTGTACACAAAATCCGACAAGATGAAGTTCTCAGTTTGTTGAACTTCCTGCACTTTAAATAGATTCCGATTACTGAATCACGTAAAACATTTCTATAACAAATCGTACATTTCTAGATCAGATCTGTGTAAGAACGATGTATTTTAGACTTGTATCTGTTACAGATATCATGACACTGCCAGATAAATGTGTAACAACATGTCGATTTATTTCTCGATTTATTGCACAAAAGAAACCGATTTGGTTCTTCAAAGTTTCTAAATAAGTGATATTCGGATAGCGGGTTCCATCACCCCCCAATTACTGGAATGAGCGGCAATCCTTGTACCCCCAGGAGGAGCAGATAGAACCCTGGAGATCATCAATCAATAGCCCTTTGTATGAGAAGGTGGGCGGCCCTGAGAAGGGCCTTTGTGACGATGAAGGGGGGGGGGGGTGGTTGTGAGGATTTATCCCCCGAATCCGTAGAGGGTGCGTCCCTGCCGTTTGAGAGCATAGACGACATCCATGGCGGTGACGGTCTTCCTCTTGGCGTGCTCGGTGTAGGTGACGGCATCGCGGATGACATTCTCCAGGAAGACTTTCAGCACTCCGCGGGTCTCCTCATAGATGAGGCCGGAGATGCGCTTGACTCCCCCTCTGCGGGCCAAACGTCGGATGGCGGGTTTGGTGATGCCCTGGATGTTGTGTCCCGGAGCACCTTCCTGTGGCGCTTGGCGCCGCCTTTCCCCAGACCCTTCCCTCCTTTACCGCGACCAGACATGACGATTCTTCTCTGCTGCAAACACAGACTGAGGTCTGGCTGAGCCCGCCTTCCTTTTATACAACCTGAGCGGACCTGATGGGAACCTGCCTGGGAAGAGGCGGAGTCACACCCATTCATTACACACAATACAATTGGAGTCATTTCTCCACGTTCCGCCCTTTTCAGATCCTTTAATGACAATAGAAATCCATCTCCAGGAGAGAAATCTCTTCATTCTTCTCAATGGTTTTCTATTTCTTCCTCGGAGATTACACAGAAACATTCATCTTTCACATTTCAGAACACAAACCATCATCACCAGTTACTATTGTTTATAAAAAATGTCAAATGTATAACATATTACTTTAAAAAGGAAAATATATATACACTGAAGAGCCAAGTTTCTGTTTATAAGTCCCAGCGAACCTGATGGGAGACTTGAGGCAAGGGGCGGGGTCAAAGCAATGCAGACAATTTCACTTACTAACTTCTAAACATGTTGCTGATTTCTAGGTACAAAGAGGAAACCGATTTGGTTCTTCAGACATGTCAGATTTTCTCTACCGATTCATTGTACATATTTATCTGGCGGTGTCATGATCACTTCTTATTTCTACCAGTCATTTCGTATTATCAATATTCTGAATGTGATATATGGGGATGGGGGGGGGGGGGGGTCAGTGACTGCTACATGGCTAAAAGAGAGAGAAGCACACATCGGTCATTGTGACATGATCGTATACAGATCTGATAGTGAAATGTACAATGTTTTATAGAAATGTTTCACACGATTCAGTAATCATCAGAGTCCATTTGTAGACATTCCTGACTAATCGATAAATCTGCTTGGAATGAAAGTGTTGGTGATTGTTCGCCAATAAATGTCTCATCTGATGATCTCCTTTGTTCTCCGGCTCGGATTTGGCGGTATAATCGGGCGGAATATTTCTCTGGAACGATCTACACAATTCCGGCGGGGAGAGTTTGGAATCTGAGCCAATCACAGCTGTGGGCGTTGTCTCCATCAGCCAGTAATGTTTGTTTTACGAGAAGTCCATAGAAATGTATCCGGAGATCTCGGTGTCGATGTTTCTAGTGCAGGAAGTGTTTTTCTTGTTCTGTAGACTTTTCATTGATCTCTTCTCTACAACTAAATCAACAGACTAATAACTAGATTTTGTCGGGTTTTGTATTCTGAGGATTGGAGGGAAAATAAAACATTTCATATTAATATTCGTAATGCTTCTATAATGATTTTTGGCCTGATCGCAGAGCCTGGAATGAATGGAAGGATTGATCGATCTTCCCAGATAAAAACGGTAAATGGATGCGGTCGGTTCTCGGTATCGGATTTGGCAGTAAGAGGGCGGATTGTCTGTGACGTCACATAGAATTCCGGCGGGAGATTGGAATGTAATTAGACAGTTGAAGCAATGACAGTTATACTTTTCTTTCAGATAACAATACGTTTCTATTCATTTTGGGAAGAAATGATCTGTTTATCAACAATCTTCATTATCCA